TTATAAGGGAACTACTTGTACTAGGAGGTCTAAAGTTGAATAATTTAAAAGGTGAATCCGATCCAGGCAAAACAAGCAAGACTGGATCGGAGCCCTGAAGGCCTTCTATTATAGATCTCTCCCCCCTCCTTTCACTATTCACTTCCTATTCATTCACACTCCCATCTCCTCCTCGATCCTCCTCCTCCTCCTCCCCCGAGTCCTCCGCAGTGTGCTGTGCTATCGTTCTATCCGCGCGCTGGACAACACACCCTCGTTCCCGTTCCTGTTCGCCCGTTGACGCAGGCCAATCGACCGTATTATTTTGTAGGCCTATTGCACCATTTTATGGTAGCTATTTGTTTACTGTAAGAAGGCGATTCGGGGAAGAAGGCAGAATAACAGCTTATCAAAGCATTTAAAATGAGTGAACTAGTACAATTACAACATATTGAGGATCGGTATGCAGAGTACGTGTAGCATACATTAAGACAATGTTCGAATGTGTGTGGGCTACTAGATCTAGATCTAGATCTAGATTCTAGGTCTAGATTCTATAGGCCTGGCCGTCGTGTTTTTAAAAAAAGTATTAGGCTACCCCCCTCCCCCGCAAACAAACAACTCGCCTGCAACCTCCTCCCTCCCAACCCTGAAAACAGAGTACCTGTACAAGTGCAGTTTGTAGCCTATCATGTGGCAGCTGGTTGCAAAGAAATTTAAGGAAATAAAGTCAACAGTTGAATAGTACTGAAATGGGCCTTACCTTTAAGTAAGAAGCATTGAACTGTCTCAAAAGTCATCAACGGTTAGCCACCAGAACAGTGAAGTGATTCGTTCTGAGAACCGCTGAGTTCTGAGATTGAGATTCTACACACCACGAGTCGATGTCGTGAGGCAGCACGCGACGAGAGAAAAGATCAATAGACCGTAAACGTCGCTTTCGTCTCCTTCAAAAAAGCTACGTGCTGATCTCTCTCCCTTTGGACGTCTTTAAGGGCTCTCCGTCTCTTGTAAACAACGTTAACACAGACATTTATAGATGCACCGTTCAGTGCCACTGTTTCAGTCAAACAACAGTACTGAAGCAATACCCTAATAGAGAGGCTGTGATAGACACGATGAAGTGGAAAAATCGTCCGTCCACTGCCTCTGACTCTGATAAAACGACCGCTCAGCGAAATGTAGCCGCGAACCAGACTAGTTCAACTGACTGAGTCCGGCCAAGGCAACACAGCAACGTGTCGGGGTGGGATGGGGCGAGGAATGGGGGAGGGTCTGAATCAGGTCTGAGTAAGAGAGGGTTTAAAGATTGGGGGGGGGGTAGCCCCAAAAATACGAATATACCGAAAACGCAGGCCCATTACTTGCCTTTCGGGATGTTGCTGGCGATTTGGTAGGCATTTATTATTAGCGCAAATGAACGTTCGCACGGGGTTTGTGATTTTACTTAAGCTCATTGCAGTGGCCTATGCCCCTCCCCCCTCCTCAATCTCCCAC